GGGGTCCTCCTGGGGTTCTTTTGGGGCGTCTTAGGTCCTCTGGGGCCGTCTTGACAGCATCTTCGGCCGTCTGCGGCTCTCGTAGGCAGACTCGGCGCCCTCTTGGCCTGTCTTGGGGGTCTCTCGGGGGCTTGTTGGGCCGTCATGGAGGCCTCTTGGCGTCTTGGGGGCCTCCTGGGCCCCCCTTGGGCCCCTCCTGGGCTCTCTTGGAGCTCTCTTTGGCGCTTCTTGGGCCGTCTCGGGGCGATCTTGGAGGCCTCTTGGGCCGCTTTGGGGGCCCAGGCAGTGGAGCGCGCGAATCCCAGAATCTGTAGGGAACCCATCGGTAATTTATAATTTCTGCCTCTTGGGGCCCTCTAGGGTGTCCCCTCGGAGCCGTCTCCGGGCGTTTTGGCGGATGATGGGGCGGTCGTCTCGGTGCCTCCTTGGGCCGTCTCGCGGCTCTTCTGGGGAGCTCCATTTCCTCTCGGGACCCTCTGGTACCGTTTCGGACTCCCGGGCGCTCGGGGAGTCGCCCCCCCAAAACCCGCCAGGTTTCCTACATATTTGTTTGAACATATTACGTGTACATAAAAGGAGGTGCACATATATATATATATATATATATATATAATATATAATATACATATATATACATATACATACATATACCTACATACATATACATACATACATACATACATACATACATGCATGCATGCATACATACATACATGCATACATACATGCATGCATGCATACATACATACATATATACATACATACATGCATGCATGCATGCATGCATGCATGCATACATATATACATACATGCGTATGTACATATATATGTGTATATAAACATATATGCATACAGATACAAATGCATATACACATGTATATATATATATATACATGCATGCATACATACATGTATGCATGCATACATACATACATACATGCATACATGCATATATACATAAATATATGTGTATATACGTACATGCATGCATAAACACATGCATACATACATACATGCATACATACATACATGCATGCATACATACATACATACATACATACATACATGTATACATACGTACATACGTACATACGTACATACGTACATACGTACGTACGTACATATATACATACATGCACACATGCATACATGCATACATGCATACGTACATATATACATGCATGCATGCATATATATATATATATATATACATATATACATACATACATGTATGCATGCATGCATGCATACATACATACATACGTGCATGCACGCATGCATGCATGCACACGTACATACATACATAGAACCATCGCGTGCGCTTCGCGCGCGCTCAAGATCTAGACGAAATCTTGGCGGAATCGATTGCAGAAACACGATATGACGTATCGGCGAAGCCAGCGGCAGTAACACGCGTTCAGTCGACCGGTCTTGCATGACTCCTGGATCGCCATGGAAGTTTCGTGAGCTGCTCCGGGTATTCATTCAAGTGTCTTCAGGCCATCGAGGGCATGTGTTGGAAATCATAAGGCGAATTTGAGGGCATGTCGGACAGTCTTGGGCGGTTGGAAATTCGGGGAGTAAACGCAATCATGCTTGCAAGAAGCGCTACAGGAGCCGCGGCGGCGACGGCGTCGGGAGAAGAAGGATGGAGATCTGGAGCGAGAGATGGAGGGGGAGTAAGAGAGGAGAGGGAAAGAGAGAGAGAGAGAGAAAGACAGATAAGGGATACTGGAGGGCGAGGGATGGGGGGGCTGGAAGCGAAGTCTTTGGCACGCCAGCGCTAGGCACAGGTATATCCGGAGGGGGGGTCGAATTTGAAAGCAAATAAGATATCTGGTAATTCGATTTGTACATGACAATTGAGGAGCCGTCTTCTTCGAATTTGCCGCCATCTGGGATGTCTCGCGGCAGTCTCCCACGGGCGCCTCAGGGGCGTTTGGAGAACCTTCCTAGAGCCACGCTGGGCCGCCTCTTGGGCCTCCTGGAGCCTCTCGGGGGCTTATTGAGCTCTTTGGCGGGAAGGAAAAGAGAGAGAGAGAGAGAGAAACGGAGAGAGAGAGGGAGAGAGAGAGAGAGAGACAAAAAAAGGAACGGAGTGCGAGGGATGGGGGAGACGGAAACGCATTCTAGCGCACGCACGACGGGCGGCGTCTTGAAAAGAAGGCACGCGCGAGATTGTTGTTCTCAAATGCCACCCCTTCCGTTAGTGAGGCGGGAAGCGGGGCGAGGGAGGCGGGAGAAGAGATGGGGAGAGGGAGGGGGGAAGAAGTGAAAGGAGAGATGGGAAGGAGAGAAAGGACGCAGAGGGGGAAAACGAGCAGGAGAGCGATCAAGGAGGAAGGAGGGACGAGGCGAGAGGATATCTCGTGGCAGTCTCGGGGGAGCCTTTCTGAGGTGACTTCAAAACCCTGGAAAAGAAGAAGGAGAAGGATGTGAAACGGGAGGCAGGAGAGAGGTCAGTGGGAACGGGCAGCGAGGATGGCAGAGGCGGAAACGCATTCTGGAGGGGGCGGGGGGGGGGCGAACTTGAGAAAAACTATGTGTAATATGTTATTATGTTTCGTTCCTACCACCCCGTGAAGCAGGAAGCTGAGTGAGGGAGGCGGAGGGAAGAAAGAACGAAATAGAGATGAAATGAAGAGAGGAGGGAAACGGACACAGCGTGGAAAATGAAGGAGGAGAGATGGATCGGGGAGGAAGGAGAGATGAGGAGAGATAATGTCAGTCTCCCAGTGGCGACTCTGGGGCGTCTTCAAAGCTTCCTGGAGCGCGTTGCGGGCGTCTGGAGGGGTCTCGGTTGGCCTCTTTGGGCCTCCTGGGGGTCTCAGGGGCTCTCAGGGGGCTCTCGGGGGCCCATCGGGGGCTTCTTGGGGAACTCTTTAGGCGCTCTTTGGGTTTCTGGGAGCCGGTGGGGGCATCTTGGACGGCTCCTGGGGGCTTTCCGAAGCCTCTTGGGAGCCTCTTGGGGGCCTCGTGGGTGCCTTTTCGAGCGTCTTGGTGGCTTCTTGGGGTCTCTTTGGGTCCATTGGGGAATCTCTTGGAGGCATCTTGGGGCTCTCTTGCAGATCATTCGCAAGCCTCGGAAGCGCACCGAAAAAGAAAATGCGAAGAAACAAATGCGAAAACTCAAAAGTCATTGATCTGGTCTTAGTTGTCTCAATGATCTTGGCCTCTCGAGGGCGTCCTTGGAGCTCTCTTGGCCGCTTGGAGGCTTCTTGGCACTGCCTTGGGCGCTCGTGGGATTCCCGTGGCCGTCGGGAAACTGTCCCGGACCTTCTGGGATGCTTTTCGCAAAATGCATTCCCGTCCGCATGCAAACTGCAGCCAGTTCTGCTCTGCGCTTGGGCAGTCAAAGAATTCAGGGCCCTCCAAGTCCAGTCCTGAAGAGAAGCGGAGGGGCGTGAAAGCGTGACTCAGCCGCCGCCAGGGAGCCGACAACCCAGGACCTTGCGAGGGCCGCTGCGCCTGGGGTGGCCTACATACCTTGAACTCGGAAACTCAGGCTTCAAGCTCGGAAGACTTTCTGCTCCTGAGCATCTCAGCGCCGAGCTGCCAGGCCGAGCGCCGCAACGAGGGCCAATACTGGCGCCGCCTGGAACGCCCCACGGGGGCCCGCGGCGCCCGTGGTGTCGCCACCGTCGGGCGCGGTGGTCTCACTCAGGCGGCGCTCTTCCGCCAAGGTGGTGGACTCGTCCAGCGCTGCCCCCGCCGCGGTGCCCACGCACAGGAATGCGAGGAGCGCCAGGAGCACAGTGCCCAGGCCGCCAGTGCGAGACGCGGCGCTCGTGGTGTCGCCGCCCTCCACGGTGGTTTCCGTCAGCCGGCGCTCCTCCAAGGTCGTGGTCTGGTAGTCGGCGACGCAGCCGTTGCCAGCGACCAGGAGGGCGAACGCTGCGAGCACCACGCGGTTCATCGCGGCAACGGCGGAGCAACAGGGGCCGAGGGCACCCAGCAAAAAAAACCTCTGCTGAATGCCTCCACACTTGAGGCAGAATAGCTCTGGGCCTTTAGCCAGAATGGCTACGGAACTTCTGAGAGCCCTTGTAGGATGTCTCGGAGCCGTCCTGGGTCGTCCCGAGGCCCTCCTGGGGCCGCCTGGGGGGCCCCGGAGAGCGGTACCGGGATTGGCCCGAGATGTCACCGAGGAGCGGGTCGGAACCCTGGGGGGGGGCGCACAAGTTCACATTGTATACATGTGTATGGTTGCGTACCCATATATATATATATACCTATACACATATATATGTACATATACAAATATACTTGTTTGCATTGAAATTGAGCGGGGTACACAAATCAGAACATCCGTAAATAGTCCAAACATGTTGTGATATCGATAGGGGGATCTGTCATGATCTGTTCAGGGATAGACAGTGAGACCCCTATATTGGAAGATCAATGGGTACTGAGATCGCTAGATGGATAGATTGCGAATCCGATCCGACGCCAGCTGCAAACCGAAACACCGACCCCCGTATCAACCGAAAGTTTGTCCAATCGGTCCGAAGAAACACCAATGACCTTATACTGGACCACCAGAACAAGTAAACCTTGTAGAGTGTGCCGAATGCACTAGATTCGCTAGACATCCACAATGATCTAGACCTGCGAAGCGCCTGAAGGGCGGACATCTGGTCGCGAGAACCCTCGTCATGCCAAGAGCGCGCGGCCCAATGTGGGACACCCCAGCGCCTTTTCACATCCATAGCCGGTCAACGTTAGACACCACTCCAGAGTGCATACGATGAAGGTGCGAAAGGCCCAACGCGTGATCTGGGCGATTACATGTCCAATGCCAAGCTGACCCATTATCATACACATCCACATGCAGTTGCCACCACCCCCTTGTTACAACATGTGCTGCTCTCAGCGTCGGTGTCGCCTCCTCGGTGTTACCCACCTCCTCTTGCAGTCGCCGCCTCGATGTTACCCACATCGTCTTGCAATCATAACCCAGGGGCCCCCCCTCATCACATCCCCAATCGGGACGGAGGTTCCTTGAGCACCAGAGGCGAATCGTCAAAGTATCTGAAGTTCAACGCAGTCACCTCAAGTCTAGCAATTAATGAAGAGCACTTCCCGCCCCATGTCCCCATCCTCCTCCCTTCGCTTTCCCTTTGTTCATATCACGCTTGCGTGCTGAAGAAAACGGCGCCGTCTTGAAGTTGGAACCGTGCTGGAGGCCCTCGGAGCAGTAAACGTCGATGGCGGTTATCGTGCGTGAGCTCCGCACAGTCATGTATTCTGTCGCCAGGAGCGCCCACAGCGGCCGAGGATGCCCCCACAACCCCCTCCCCAAGAGGGCCCCTGAGGCCCCCACGCACGAACGGACGAACCCCAGCTTCTATTTTGAGACCTGGTACGTGATGGGGCACATAAAGAAAGTGTCACGCCCCGTTCTGTGCCAAAGAAATCGACTGTATCGGATCGCGCGCGTTCTAACGAATAGCCGCGCCCGCCGCCCACCCATTCGGGATGCGGGCTGCGTCGTCGCCGTCGTCCCCGCCAACGCCACCGTCGCCGCCGCCGTCCACGCCATCGCCGCCGCCGTCGCCGTAATCGGCGCCGCCATCGCCGTCGTCATCGTCGCCGTCGCCGACGACGGAGCAGGCGACCCGTCATCGTCGCCACCGCCGCCACCTCCGGCATGGTCGTCGTCGTCGTCGTCGCCGTCTCCGGCATCGACGTCACCGCCGTCGCCGTCGCCGCGACGGCGGCGAGGGATACGGCGACGACGCCGATGGCGACGGCGACAGGGTAGGTTGCGATATTTCAGAGACATGGCCAGCAGGTAAGCATGACCAGTCGATCTCAGCAACACCCGTGGAAGAGGCGGTGTCAGCATCGGTTCCTGAGTCGACGGGTGAGCCAGGGCGTTGTCCTGATGAACCCAAAGGATACTTGCAACTGGTGAAGAACCACTGGCTGAAGCTGCAGCTGGCCCGTGATCCCAGTAGCTGTTGTTAAGGCAACATGACTGTGTGCTGCCAACTTCCTGGCCAAGAAACGCCGTGGGTTCGTTTGGCTCTTGACCGGCCCAAATATTGACCGGCGTGGCCGCCGGGGTGTTGCGTGCGCCCGCATAGAACGTACTAGCGCCAGAACCTCGACCACTGATGACCCCACCAATGTTTCCAGAAGAGCGTTTAACTGAGTGCCCGTAGCTGCGCATCCGCTCCAATAGTTGATCCTACTCTTGTTGGGTTAGGGGCATCTGCTGGCTGAGAGGTTGGAGTAGCTATGAGGCTCGGGATATGCCTAACCCCAGAAACCGAAGCAGCAACAATGGCAATATCTAAAAACTCGGGATGTAAAATCGGGCGAATCCGCTTCCAATCTGACCATCTCGAATCGGGCCACTACCGAGTCGATGCGTTCACCTCGGTCGACCCTAAAGTCGACGAGGGCTGCTCCTGATGCCAGAAATCGATCGTAGATTCTCCAGTAATTAATGCTGAGTACGCACATAATGTACGTCGTAACACCATCGGCGCGCTGACCTGTAGGGTTACGCCGTAACTGATTATCGAGGACGGCACTCTGATAGCCAGGGTCCTGGCTAGGCCACATGGCCTCGCTGCAAAATAGTAGCTTGCTGTTGTGGGGTCATGACCCCACTTGCAACGTTGAGCCACACATGATCTTCGCGAATAAACTTGCGGAAGTGCAGGTTGCCAGCAGGGTCCCAGTGACGGCCCCAGGCACGCGTGTCGCCAATTCCTCGTTGCATGCACCCTGCTGCTAAACCGAGACACACCCATACGAAACCGAAAACAATAGTCTGAAGGTAACGCATGGTCATGTTAGTGTTGGTGGTGTCGTGGTCGCGGTGGTGGTGAGCCGACGTGGCCGTCAGCTTTGGATGGATTTAGGGTTCACTTTGGGGTGTTGCGCCTGGCCGCGCTGAGGAAGGTTGACGGCGGAAGAGATGGGTTTGGATAGTGTGTTACCATCTGGCTGATGGTTGGGAGCGTAGTGGCTTAGAGCACTGGCATACACGCGTGGACCGACGCGGCCAACGGTCGTTGTGTCGTCACATGTAGCCCAGCTTCGTGACCCTGATCCCCGCAGGGAAGCCGGCGCAATGGCGCAATTGGATGTACCGCCATAGACGCAGTCCACAGTTCTGTGCCGTGGAATACCGGTATCAGAATCAGAACTAAATAAATGTCAACGAGACCAACTCCGCTACCAAGTCGAAAGTGGCATAGGAAGCCGTACCATACCTTATAAGCGTCTGACAGTATCCCATCGCAAATCCGTACAGTTAGCATGAGCAAATATATGGGAGATAAGGTACGGGATGAGAAGATGCATCATCGAAGGACATGGGAGATTCGTTTTCCGTTGCTCGGATGCTGCAATACCCCGAGATCGGGCCAGTCGTATGTTAGCCGCGAGCCCGCGGCGCGTCGGCGGACGCGGGCACGTCGCCCGAAGGCTCGCCTTCAACCCCTGCTGAAAGTCACGGCCCACGCAGGCGACCAAGAGCACCAAGGTTGCCCAAGATGCCTCGAAAACGACCCAGAACGGCCGCAAGGCGGCCGGATATGGTCTCAAGACGGCCCAAGATGCCTCTAAGACGGAGCAACAGGGCCACAAAAGACCCTGAAACAGGGTCCGAAGAAGCCAAAATCACGAATTTCCTTTCAACTGGTTTAAAGAATGATGCATTCTCACTGTTTGGGGCTTCCATCAACTCAAGTCGGCCCAGAAGCCCCCACGATGGCCCCAAGACGACCCAAGAGGCTCCGAAGAGGGTGCGAAGGTGGCCCAATAGGACCACGATTGACCAAGACGCATCTAAGACGGCGCCTCAAGACGGCCAAAGAGGGCCTCCCGTGGGACTGAAGGCGGTCTTGGAGAGCCCTATCGACTGCCTCAGACAGCCAGCGCCAAGACGGCCCCCAGGCACCCACCATACGGCCAAGAGGGCCCAAATAAGGCCTAAGAGAGCCCAAAGACGGCGCATGAAAGGGCCTAAGAGAGCCCAAAGGAAGCCCCAAGACTACCTCACAGGAGGCCAAGACATACCCAAAACGGCCTCAACGAGTCTCATACGAACTGCTCACATAACGATACCGACATGTGACACAAGTGACGGCCTTCTCTTCCTCCACCTCCTCCTCCTCCTCCTCCTCCTCCTCATCATCATCATCATCATCATCATCATCATCATCATCATCATCAGCATCATATTCATCATCATCATCATCATCATCATCATCACCATCATCATCATCATCATCATAATCATAATCATAATCATTATCATCATCATCAGCAGCAGCAGCATCATCCTCATCATCATCATCATCATCATCAGCAGCATCATCATCATCATCCTCAACATCATCATCAGCAGCACCATCGTCATCATCAGCAGCATCATCATCAACAAAATCATCTCAGCATCATCATCATCATCAACACCGACATCACCACCAACGTCATCCTCATCCACATCCTCCTCATTATCGTCCTGATCCTCCTCGTTGTCGTGGTTGTCGTCGTCGACATTGTCATCATCATCATCATCATCGTCATCATCATGATCATGACCATCAGCATCATCATCATCAAAATCAGCATCATCATCAGCATCACCACATCATCATCCACAACAACAATCATTGTAAGACTGTTCGCGCATACCTGCCCGGGACCCATTCAACACGTATCTCCCAAACCCTCGGTACCCACCCTCCTCGTCTTCGATCGTACCCCCCTGGGGGTATACCTTCCTTACCTGCCGCGTGTAATTGGTGCAGCCCCTGACACTGGGAAAGAGAGGACGGATGGAAGGGGGAGGGAGAAGGATGGAGCACGGGATTAGCAGAAGGGGGGCTAGGAGCAGAAAACACGTGGCAGAACCAGACGGGCCCATCGGGCGGGGTGACCTCAAGGGGCGGATCGGGAAGGCGGGCCCAAGCGGCCAGGTCGAGAAGGCGTGTTGCTGAAGCGTGGATACTGCATGAATCGCGAGGAAGTCTCGAGCGATAGTGTGATTCCCAAGTAAATCGTGAGAACGGCCAAAGCGAGAGCGTGATTCAGGGCGCGGCGTCTGAATAAATTGCAATAAGTCCCATGCGAGGGCGCGATCCCTGCATACAGTGTGAGGAAGTCCCGCGCGAGAACGCGATCCTGGAATACAATGATATGAAGTATCCGACGGGAGCCGTTGTTGTTGTAATTCGGGGGCCATGGGCCAAATTTGGTGACCCCTGACTTCCCCTTGTAAAAAAACAGGGTACGAGCCCCGGGAGAGGCACTTCAATTGAAAAACACAATGTTCCCCGGAGGCGGGGGATCAACAAGAATGATCCTTCAAAAATGAGAACTCAAGAACAACAACAAAAACAACAGCATCAACAACAACAACCACAACAACAACACAAGTAATCACAACAACAACAACAACAACAAAAGCAACAACAACAACAACAACAACAACAACAACAACAACAACAACAACACCACTAACCTCAGCAGCAGCAACAACAACAGCAACAGCAACAACAACTGCCGCAGCGACAGCAACAACAACACTTAATTTAAGACTGGTCGCTCTTACCTGCCCGCGTGCCATTCAAAACGTATATCCTGAGCCCTCGATACCCGCCCTCTTCGTCTTCGACCGTACCCCCTAGGGGGTATTCTTACCTGCAACGTGTATGTCGTACAGACCCTGAGGCAGGGGAAGAGAGGACGGACGCAAGGAAGGGGCAAGGGGGAGAGATGAGGACGGAGCACGAGAGAGACTAGGAGGGCTAGGAGCAGACAACACGTGGCAGAACCAGACGGGCAGATCGGGCGGATAGACCCTACCAGGCGGGTCAGGAAGGCGGGCCCAGGCGGCCAGGTCAAGCAGGCGTGTTGCTGAAGCGTGCGTCCTGCATGAATCGCGAGGGCGTCTCGAGCGACAGTTCGATTCCCAAATCAATCGTGAGGAAATCCACAGCGAGAGCGTGACTCCTGAATGTCGAGGGCGCGGCGTCTGAATACTTTGCAAGAAGTCCCACGCGAAAACGCGATTCATGAATAAATTGTAAGGAAGTCCCGCGGAGAGCGCGAGTTGGGAATACATGGTGAGGAAGTATCCGGCGGGAGCCGTTGTTGTTGTAATTCGGGGGCCAGCAACGCAATTTGAGGAAGACGTTCCTGATACAAAGAAACGGGTGCGAGTCCAGGAAGGGCACATCAATCGAAAAGAACATGTGTTACCAGAGGGGGTCAACAGCACATGTTTTTCAATCGTGAGAGTTCAACAACAACAACAACAACACCACCAACAACAACAACAACAACAACAACAACAATCATTTAAGACTGGGGACACTCCGTTCTCACCAGCGCCAGGGTTTTCATAGGAGGCGGGCAATACCCCCACTTTGTGGGGGGGCCGGTTCAAGCTCTACCAAGTTTCCAAACGACTCTTCGCCACCACCCACACCCAGCTTCCCGCCCTATGACGTTCGGACACTTCACTTCGTGGCATGCGGACGACCGTGGCTACTATTCAGGGCCCCGCGGCCGACGACGACGGCGTGCGCGCGCGAAGAAAAAACGAATGTGTCCCGCATGGTATTATTTGACAGGGATGATGGCCCTGGCAGGTGCGCAACCGTTGTTGCAGAAGTTCGAAAAAGTTGCTCGCAAAAGCCCGTTTGACAGAAATGTTTAAAAAGTGTTGGGTTTCCTACGAATCCGCAAGAGCGCGCGGGATGAGATTTTGACATTTTTTTGTTGAAAAACCATTGGTTTTTTTATGTTTTTATGTTAAAATCGCTACGAAAACTAAGGTTTTGGAAGGATTTCGTCTTGCGCGCGCGAATGTCCACTTTACCTTATTTTTTGCAAGGGATTCTTGAAATTTGGATTATGTTAGAACAAGAAATGTCATTTTATAGTGTTTTTTGCAAGGGAAAGCGGGCGTCAACAAAACAACCGGATCTGGATGACATCGTTTTACCTGAGACTTCCTCACGAAAATGATGAAAATGTGGCTGCGGCCTAGGCGCGGCGGGGGGGTCGCGCACCAGGGGTCCCAACAATAATTATTCTTAAGAAGAAATAATGTTCAACAACAACAACAACAACGACAAGAAGATTTACACAAGAGCAACAACAACAACAACAACAACAACAACAGCAACGACGAGCAGATTAAGACTTATCGTTCCTATCTGCTCACGTGCCAATCAGCACGTGTATCCAAAATCCTCTGTACCCGCCCTCGTCGTCTTCGATCGTACCCCCTTGGGGGCATATCTTCCTTACCTGCCACGTGCATTTAGTGCAGCCCCTAAAACAAGGGAAAAGAGGACGGGTAGAAGGGGGAGCTAGAGGAATGGAGCACTAGATTTTAGCAGAAGGGGTGCAAGGAGCAGAAACCAAGTGGTAGAACTAGACTGGCAGATCGGGTGGGCAGACCCATAGCGGGCAGGTCGGGAAGGCGGGCCCAGGCAACCAGGTCGAGCAGGCAGGTTGCTGAAGCGTGGGTCCTGCATGAATCGCGAGGGAGTTTCGAGGGATAGCGCGATTCCCGCGTAAATCGTGAGAAAAGCCAAAGCGAGAGCGTGATTCCTGAGCGCCGAGGGCGCATTGTCTGAATAAATTGCGAGAAATCCCACGCGAGAGCGCGATGCGTACATAAATTGGCAAAAAGTCCCGCGCGAAAACGCGATTTGGGAATACATTGTGAGGACGTATCAGACGGGATCCGTTGTTGTTGTAAACTGGAGGCCAAGGCCCAATTTGAGCCCCCTGACTTTCCGTGTTAAAAAATGGTGCGAGCCCCGGGTGGAGCACATCAATTGAAAAAACACCATGGTCACCGGAGGAGGCAATAATTATTCTTCAGTCGTGAGAGTTCAACATCAACAACAACAAAACCAACAACAACAACAAAAACAACAACAACAACAACAACAACAACAACAACAACAACAACAACAACAACAACAACACGACCGACAACAACAGCAACAACACCACCAACAACTATGACTACAACTACAACTACAACAACAGCCACAACAGCAACAACGACATCATCAGCAGCATCAGTATCATCAGCATCATCAGCATCAGCATCAACATCAGCATCATAATCATCATGATCAGAATAGTCAGCATTATCAGCATCGTCCGCATCCTCCTAATCATCCTCAGAATCATCATTATCATCATCATCATCATCATCATCATCATCATCATCATCATCATCATCAACATCTTGGTCATCAACATCATCAGAATCGTCATCGTCGGTTTCAGCATCAGCATCATCGTGTCCATCAGCATCAGCATCAGCATGATCGCAAGCATCATCATCAACATAATAATCACTCATCAGCATCATCATCATCATAATAATCAGCATCATCAACATCATCATCATCGTCGCCGCCACCACCACCCTCGTCATCCTCCTATCTCATCAAGGCTCTCCAAAGCCTAGAGGCACGAGGTGTCACACGTGACTGCTTCCCGTGCCCTCTCAAACAGTCGCCGCCCAGAATGCTGGGCTGGCATGGTGGCGGGACTTGCAGCAAACAACTGGAAAATACTGCTACTGCGTAGTATGGCTGCCGCTATGCTTCCCCAGACAATGCTTGCACTTCGGGCTTTGCGGTACAAATCATTCGAATATGTTGCTGCGTTCTAATTGCGGCCCTGGTGCCCTATGGGTGATGTTCTGTGGTTGATGAGCTACGGCGCCGCGATTGTCGTGATTTCTTGTTGCCACCCTGGTGCCAAGGGTGATACTCTCTGGCTGGTGCGCAGTGGTATCCCATCTGCTTCCATGTCTTGTTGCCGCCCCGGTGTGGTGCTCTAGTGTTGGTGAGCTACCAAGCGGCTACCACGCCCCATTTGCAGCGATATCTGGTTGCCGCCTCAGTGCTATGGGTAGTGCACCATGGCTGGTTCACTGTGATGTACCACTTGCCAGTAGTAGTGTCCCACGTGCTGCGAGTTCTGCCGCCCTGGTTCCCAAGAACTGTGTTTGCGCTGATAGGATCTCGCTTGGGTCAGCAGGTGTTCGAAGTGGCTGCTGCGAGGTGTGGTGGCCACCCTTGTGTCGCACGAGTTGTGCACTGTAGTTGGTGCGCTATGGCGCCCCGACTGCTACGATTGATTGTTGAGGCCCTGGCGCCTCATGGGTGGTGCATTACAGCTGGTGCGCTGTGATGCCCCAATGTCTATGCTTTCTTCTTGTCGGCCTGGTGCCCTATGGATGCGTCATTGTTCGTAAGGAGTTGCGACTTCTGCTTGCTACTCTGGTGAACAATGAGTGATACCCCATAAGTGGCGTGCGTGCTGATGCTATGATGATTTGCTAAATGACGCCCATTGTTCGCGACTTCTGATTGCAAGACTGGTGCTCTACGGGTGGTGCCCTATGATGCCGTAAGTGTCGCGATTACTGATTCCCGTCCTGGTATCCTAAGGGTGGCGCCATACTGCCAGCGCCATATAATGCTGGATTGTCACGGCTTCCGGCTTAACGCTGGCATCAGTGGTCACCAGCCACAGGTCACCGCCTACGGGTGCGAGAAATCAGTGTTTGAGGGGTTGGGCGGTTACAGCAAAATGTACAAAGTCGCGCTCCGAATGCCCACGACTCCTACGGCGTTGGAGGCACCGCTTGGGCCAGAATGCACCCACCCACATACGCCCAAATGAATCCAAATGAATTGTAATAGAACTCCAGATGGATTCAAATGCACCCCGAGTAGCCCCCCCAAGCCGTTCAAACGTGGCGCCACGGCATGTGCGGCGTGTCGTTCTGCGTGTGCGCGCGCGCGCTGCCTGTGCCAGTATGTAGCTGTTTCTCGCGGAAGCTAAACGGAAAGTCAGTCACTTGCTGCTCACCTGAGATGGGCCCAAGAAAGGCCCAAGAGGGGATCTCGAAGTGGCCCCGGCAGCGCATCGCCAAAAGATGGTCCTCGAAACCGCCAACAAACCTGCAAGAAGGGACCAAGACGCCCCCCAGGATTCCTCAAGCGGTCCCCAAGAAGACACCAAGAGGCCCAACGGGCCCCCAAGAGGCGTCCAGGAAGCCACTGATCCACTACCCAGGCACGGTGGCGGCTGTCTCAACTGTAATTACAGCGCTAGTTCACAGCAGAAACACCATTGGCAAGGAAAGTCAGATCAATAAGACAATCGACAGAGGCAACACGACGAGAGGCGACCCTCCCATGTGGTTTCTGATAGCCCACCATTGGCAGAGTCACCGTGGCCACAGGCTTTCCAGCGGAACCCAGGCCCTCGATCTTGCCCGGAATCGGGAACTTCATCTCGTCGTCCTGCCAAGGCCAATCCTCGATCAGAGCTTCCCCAACCTACGGAGCCGAATTCTGTACACCGACGCCGTTTGCGGCCCTGCCCTGGAGTCTGCACAGGAGCGCGGGTCCCGGTGCATACGGGATCCTGGGGCTATACATTCTTCGCTGCCTCCCTGGGGAACGGGTAAAACCAGAGTGTGCACCACACCGCCCCGACGTCGTCCCCGACCCTGCACAAAAAAAGTCCTGGGATCGAAAGAGAGCAGAACAGCCCGCCACTGGTAGCGTGTACACCCTGCGAAATGCTTTAGAAATCATGGGTTAAGAAACTCATAGTCTCAGAATCTGAATGAAAACCCAGAATGTCTATTCAAATCTTGGGATTGACATTGAAACATGAAGAATAATCGAGAATCTGGCCGAAAACTTAAGTTTTCTTAAGCATCGCCTGAGGTGCATGCTCCAGCCTCCGACAGCCCAAGGGGGCAGCGCCAGAGGCCGCCCCACGGCGGGCGCAGACGCCCGGCGCCGCGGCGAGGACGAGGAGGAGGAGGCCTCCTCCCCGCGTGCAGCAAAATGCCCACGAGGGGAGGATGTGAGAGGAGGAGATCTCCCCACGAGAGGGGAGACGAGAGGAGGAGACCTCCTCCCCGCGCCGTGCCCTGGCCTCTGGCGGGTTGCCTCCTTCGACCCGTGGGCTCCAGGGCTGTCGTCAGGTCGGGCACCTCCTCCCAAAAAAGGGTCGAGAATGGAGCAGCCGAAGCGTCGCCCCCTGACTCTGTCTGTGCTGTTCTTGAACACTCCTCCTGTAGGGGGACATGCACGACTTAAAACCATCGACCCCTTCCCCGAGACTGCATTTTATACCAGATCCTTTTCTGATGGCCCCTGAAGGGTCAAAATGCTCGGATCGGAAAAACAAGTTATATGGGAGAAGACTGGGCACACACCGCTCGGAAAGGCGAAGAGCGGGTGCACTCGGTGCACGGCATGACTGCACGCCGAGCAACGATACAGGAGGCGAGCCCAACGGAGGGATCCTGGGCGCCTGTCCGCCAAGAGGCAAGCGTCTTCCCTCTGGCTCCCTCCCCTCCTACATGTTTCCCAACCATCCTGTGGTGTTGGGTCCTCGTTTTGAAGAGACAGCGCCCCGCTCCCCTCCTCTCCTCTCGTCCTCCTCCCCCTCCTCCCTCCTCCTCCTCCTCCTCCCATCATCATCATCATCATCATCATCATCATCATCATCATCATCATCATCATCATCATCATCATCATCATCATCATCATCAGCATCATCATCATCATCATCATCATCATCATCATCATCATCATCATCATCATCATCATCAACATCAACATCAACATCATCATCATCATCATCATCATCATCATCATCATCATCATCATCATCGCCGTCGTCGTCGTCGTCATCATCATCATCATCATCATCATCACCACCACCATCATCATCATCATCATCATCTTCTTCATCATCATCATCATCATCATCATCAGCAGCAGCATCACCATCGCCGTTATCGTCACCATCACCGCCACTCATGCCAGCACACCCCTCAAACGCTTCGTGGTCCCATGGGGAGCTCCACCGAAGGCCCCAGTGGCGGTGTTCGCATGCGTCTCCCCCGCTCGGTGTAGCGCTCCACCGAAGGCCCCAGTGGCGGTGTCCGCACGCGTCTCCCCCGCTCAACACAGCGTTCCGTGGTCCCACAAGGGAGCTCCACCGAGGATCCACCGAAGCACGGCCCCATATCGGAATACCCTTTGTATGCTGCATGGCCCCATGGGGAGATCCCCCGAAGGCGATACCCGCAACGACGGTACTCACAAACTGCATATGATTGGGTCCTTCCCAAGGACATTCCAACTAGGCTTGCCTGGATGGTTCTTACTGTCTGCTGCATAGCTCTATCACTAGACAAAAGCCGTAGGTCGGCCGTGGCCCTCCCGCGAGCCTCGCGAGCATGCAGGCTCGCTTCGGGTTCACTTCGGGCCGCCAGCGCTGCTGCCAAGAAGCTCACTCCACGCGTACTGGCCCGCGACATAACTACTGGGGCGTATCGCCATGCCGCCGTTGCAGGCAAGAATCCGAGACGGCTGGCTCGCCTCTGGGGCATCTCGCCTTCCAAACGTGAATATGTTGCACTCCGATTCTGCTGGCTCACGGGCGGCAGCAGCTGGAATCACAAGCGAACCGGCGGGAAGTCCACTCTGAGCGTGCCAGCTCGCCTTCTGGGATCTTGGAGCAGCCAGCGTTCTTCCCGTGGCGCAAGTTGCGCTGCCAATGTTACCGGCTGGAGCCCATGTCCCAGAGTGCCGACTCGCTGCTCGCTTCTGGTGCACTACGCACTGCAAGCGCAGATGAACCACGCATGCCGAGAAGCTCACTCCTAGCGTGCCGGCTCGCCTCCGACAGCAGCTGGAGCCCGCAGCGAAGTCGGCCCCGCCGCGTGTGCCAGCTCGGGCGCGCTTGGAGCAGCCAGCGCTGTCTGCACGAAGCTCACCCCGAGCGTGCCGGCTCGCTCCCAGGGCATCTAGCTTTGTCAACACCACCAGCAGGAAACTCGGCCCGAGCGCGCCTGGCTCGCTTCTGGTGCACTTGACGCTGCCAACGCTGGAGGCCTAGAAATGGGCACCAACACCAACACAGGGGGGGCCTCCACAGGGGGAAGATGACCCTAGATTTCGGTGTTGGTGGCAATACTTCGGTCACCTTGGAAGCCAGAAGGTTACCAACCTCACCGGGATCAGGATCTCCTTCCCTCGGTGGAGGCACACCGCCGATATTGGCGTTGGTGTCAACCGCTAGGCCTGCGACAACGTTGTCGACAGGAGTCTCGGTCCGAGCGTGCGGGCCGTCGTCGGGCAGCACACGGAGTTCAGCACGCATCCTGCAGGAAGCCCCGCCCCGAGCGTGCCGGCTCACCTCTGGCGCACACTGCACTGCCGGCGCTGTTGCCGCGGAGCCACCTACGAGCGTGCACGCTCGCGTTGTGGCGCACGCGGCGACGTCAGCGCTGTCGACAAGCAGCTCTTTCGGGCACGGGCTCAAGGCGCCGTCGCACGACGCCCCTTGCACGGCTGTGAGTGCCCAGCAGAACTGACGCAAGCAAGGCCCCTTCGGCGACCCCTTGGGGCCACCGGGGCGTGAGATCCCTGCCCCTCCCCGGACCCCTCCCCCGAGA